CACTGATGTTTGCCTATTGAAGGGAAGCCTCGCAGCAGTTGGAGGAGGATCTGAAGACTACTGCCGGCCGGGAAGAGCTCAAGAAACTGTTCAAACTGTGCGACTCCTTAGAGGGCGCCGACACCGACGACATACACAACTTTGTCGGGAGTCTGACGTATGCGGTCTCGGGTATTGTTCAGTATAACAGCAACATTAAGGCCTTTTGTAAGCTGGTGACGGACCCGAGTGGTGGAGCCCGTGCTCTGGACAGGTATGCGAAGGCACAGGCAGGTCAACACGGAGGATGCATTAACTTTAAATACAAGAATTTGATTAGTTATATGAAACAAACGTCTAAACAGTCGCCGGCCGTCTCATCGGGAAGTATGTCATCCTTCGTATACTCTATGGACACATAATTTGACACAAATTGTGTACTAATTTCTAGTACATTATGAAATCATACAGAATCTGAAACTAAGATAAAGATATATTTTAATACAAAGTATAACTTATACTGTATTAAACTTAATGCAAATTTTAAAATTATTCTAATTATTAGAAAACCTTTCGAGATTAGATTAGCGTTTTGATACATTTTAATTTATTAGTTAACTATAAATTAAATTAACACTAATTTTACATACATTTACATGCAGTAAGGCAATGGACGTATCAGACATGCACTGAGTTTGGGTACTACCAGACCACTAGTCTGAAGGACAGTCCGTTTGGGCACAACCTTCCGGTCGAGTTCTACACGAAACAGTGCACCGATATATTCGGTCCGCAAATCACGGCCCAAACCATCGAGAAGGCCATCGATGCCACCAATTTCTACTATGGGGGCCGTCAGCCCAATGTGACAAACGTGGTGTTCCCTAACGGCTCACTCCTAGGCACCGTGCGTAACTCACATGAGGTCCTGGAGTTGTTGTCGTGGTTTCGGCACGACTAGCTCCCCATGCGGGTGACGCCCCTGTACAATGCCGCAAACCCGTCGGAGCCCAAGAGTCTAAAGGATGCGCACGACTTGATTACCAAACAATTGGCCGAATATTTGAAATAATTTTGTTTAGAGTGATATTTGTGAACAGGATACTTATTTAACATTATGTAAAATTTGACAATAAATTACTACTACCAATAAAATGTTGTATTAATAAAGTTTCATGAATAATGATTCATTATATTCTAAAATTGTGTACTAATATAAGCCATAGAATTATTAGTATAATAATATAATTTATATTAAATTATTTTTAGACGTTAATTAGTTTAAGCATTAAAGTAAAAGCAAATTCATGTCTAACATTGCATGTTAGTGTAAAAAATAGTGTTAACTTCTGTTAACAATTAAAGCATGTATTGGTTTTTGAATCAAATTTAAATAATTATCAAGTATTTTAAATGCAACAAGCTTTAAGCTTAGTGTATTATAATTTATATTAACTTATTTAAACTCATAGTTGTATACCAGTTAATAACTATTGTAAAATGAAATTTGCATTAATTTTCTAAAATGGCACATTTATACTTAATTCAATAATTAAGAGTTATGTGTACCAGATTCAATTCCAAGAATTTATATCAGTGATTGTACTAATAATCAAAAACACTTTTTTCTAGCCTCCTGTCACATGAATGATAATGTATCATAATTATATTCTCATATGATTTGTACAAAGCTATTATTATTATCTAGCACACAAATGCAAGAAAGCTATTATTTTTATATAGCAGTTGTGCTTTTAAAATGTCATTTTTACCTTTCTTAAAATACAAATAACAGGTGCAACGATTATTAAGAAATTAATCTATATGATATAATGATTAAAATTATGATTACAATGAATATATAAAGAGCATTTAAGAATTAATTTTAAGCCAAAGAAATTAATTTTATTAATTTTGTACAATTTTAGAAAATTAAATATCATTTAAAATGAATTTTTATATTATACTTATTGTAACTTTTCTAAATTGCTACGTGAATGGGGTGCTTACAAATAGGCTGACTATGTTTAGGGGTCGACCCAACGACAAGTATGGTATGTTTAGACCACCCGTTCCTGATCCGGATGAAGTACTTAAGGAAATTAAACCGCAATACTATGACCAGAAACTCAACCATTTGGATGATAAGGATAACCGCACGTTTAAACAGGTTTTTAGATCACTATTTATTTATTAAATTACTATTATTAAATAAATATTTATAATTATATATAATATTATTCGTACGTTATAATTAATAGGAATTTGTGGAATACTATTATTATATTCTTATAATTAGTAAATTATTCTATATTTAAAACAACCTAGAGTAGAGACTAATATTTTTATGATACTATTTAATAGCTGTATTATACCGACGATTCGCACTACAAAACTGGTGGACCGGTATTTGTGATGATAGGGGGTGAAGGGGCCGCCAGTCCTATTTTTTATAGCTATATGGTAAAAGCGCTAAACAACTCAACGTATTTATGGCAACATTAGAGCACCGGTATTACGGAGAGTCTGAACCGTTTAACGAGACAACCGTTGAAAACCTGAAATACCTTTCAAGTGAACAGGCGTTGGCCGATACGGCGGACTTCATACAGTATTTGACCAAAAAGTTGTCACTGAATGGAATTACTTCACGCAACCCATGAACGCCTTTTACGGCAACCTATTAGTCAATAATCAGACGCAACAGTCGTTCCCCAACTTCATGGCGCCGGCGTTCGGACCCTCACCGCTGCCACCGCCGGGCCTACCCTATCAGTACCCGCTGTACCCGCAATACCCGCCCTTTCCCGGGCAACAGTGCGCCACCATTCAAGACATACAGGCGCTGATGAGGGAACGGGAGGAGCACCTGGCGCTGTGTCGACCCCTGGAGAGCGCCAGCGAAAGCGAGGACCACTTCGTGCCCATAGTTATGTCCGACTCAGAGGGCATATACTCACCCGACCCCCTGTCCGGCAACGAGGGCCCCATCACTGCCCAACAGTTCGTTGAGGAACACATACAGCGCGTGGAGGCCGAGGCAGAGGCTGCCGCCGAAGCCGATAACCTACCCGTCCATAGCGAGACAATTGTGGGCGCGCTGGATGGCCTGGGGTTAGACATACAGCAGAGTCTGGCGGACATAAAGGCGACTAAAAGCGAGTCGAAGCGCAGGCATAAGAAAAAGTCGTCCAAAAAGCATAAGAATAGCAACGGAGCGGCCGTTCAGACGAGTAATCAAAACAATGGCAATAATAACGGAAAGGATGGCAATGACTGCGAGGAACAGAACCCCCTTATGGGCGGTGAAGGGGGCGACGACCCGAACGAGGATTTAGACCAAAATTAGTGCCTATTTTTGAATCAAAGTGTTTGTTGTTTCGCAAAACCATTTGTCTTATAAAAGCTGTGATAATAAGTATTTCTTAAGACTTTTAATATTAATGTATAAATAGTTTTCGTTTTTAGATCTGTTTTTTGGATCACTTTTTTATACACAATATTTTTTTTGGACGTTTTGTACGAATAATTTATTTTCGTATCAATGAAATAATCAATGAATTACTTAATATTAATAAATAAAATGAATCTCAAATTCTTGGCCTTAATTTCGGGACAAAAGTCTAATGAATGACTGATTTTGGTTCAATTAAAACGTTTAATTAATAAATAATTAAAAGTTTGTTTTGTTGGCTAATAATAATTGACTTCAATTTCTTATATAGATTTGCATTTTGAGGCTATAATTACACATAAAATATACAAAATACTGTTAAAAATAACCACTGATTGTGATGCACCTCTCAATTACCATACAATTAGAAGTATAACTTTCGCAAAGACGCTAAGTATTAGTTATCTATATATTTTGAAATCCAAAAGTGAATCATTACTTATGCTATATGATTGCAAAAGTGTGTACTTACGTGTTAATGAGATAATCTAATAAACCATATTTAAAATTCGCATACACTTAA